ATAAACTCACTCGCTCGTTCCTCGCTCGTTCGTTGTATGATGCAAGCAACTCGTGAATAAAATCCCGTACGTCGCACTTTCCATGAAGTAAACTATATGTATCTTATTTTGGAAAAACACAGTTGCAGATATTATGGTAAAGGTGTATGGTCTATTGTTTTCAGATATTTGCATACTCTGAATGAAAATCATAAAAGAATGTATAGACCTTTTAGTCATTTTCTTAGATTGCATGCCCGCCGTGTTTATATCAGATCGAACAGAGACACAAGYGGCCGTTATATAGTTCTTTTATTTATTTTTCTTTTAAAGTTTTCTGCGGAGTTTTTCGAGCACAAGTAAGCCGTATCTCTGTCCTCTGATATRGACACGATCGTCAGCGAATCAGAGCGAGAGTTAAAATTTCTATAATTTCTGTTAAAAGCCACCCAGTTTTCGATAAGTATGATAACATACTTCTTTTGATCGATGACAGAGAAAGTATTGTAGATCCTCATACCTTGCTATTTCTAAACACGTTAGAAATTAAACTTGTATATCCCTTTTCGCGGACCCTCGATCATCGAAGCYTCGAACATTCAAAACAATGACCTCTTTCTATGTGAAATATTTGCAATAATCACTTCGTTATTSAATTGAAGCACGAAATTTCGAAGCCCATTATCCGTCACCAGATTTCATAGTCCAATCATAAACGGTTAAAAAACAATTGTTTTATTGAAGTTTCAAAAACTCATAGCTCCTTCYCAAATGATTCGGAATTTCTGGMAATGATACACCTTATTGCAGCCTTAGAGCAAATGCAGGAAAACCATGAAATAAAATCAAACTAAATACTGTAATGATTTGCGCACCCCTCCCCGAGTGAGGAAGATTGGTACCACGGCTACGGTGTGAGTTGGTGTGTGTGAGTTGCGTGAAAGTCGAAGTTGTACAGTACGTTGTATGTTAACGATTAAAGAACAACAAGCAGAAAACGAAGGCGTTACATTGGTGGCAGCATGGCTGATTATTCGAGCGACATTTCTCTTACAAATCTGTTTACTTCAACGCCGAAAAGCACAAATCCTTTCAGGAATGCTCRGTCWCATGGCGGCGATGAGCGGAAATTTGTTCACGACAACACACCAAAACATCCAACAAATCCATTTCTTGGCAATGATACTCCATTTCAATCATCAAAAGCAACTAATCCGTTTCACAATGGGGATCTGTACCGCAATTCAAACACGTTTACTACTTTTTCTAACACGAARAGCAACAAGTTTCGCAAACCCGTAAAGCTTCCCGACGATTATGATGGCAGTTCGTCACTTCGAGATTATCTTACACATTTCAACCGATGTTCGATCGTCAATGAATGGAATGAGGAGGAATCAGCAATATTTTTGTCTGCATCTCTGCGGGGTGAGGCCCAAAAACTCCTTCACGGAATGACCGAAAACGACTGTAGNAATAATCGTTGTCTTTGGCGTTCACTTGTTTCTCGATTTGCTTTGAGTCTTAATAAACTTAATTGTCTCGTCTCTCACGTTTTCCCTTTCAAGCCTGTACTGCGTTGTTCTTCACTTAGACTTCTTCGACGCTCTCTTTCTCTTCTTCTTGTCTTTTCTTCTTCAGATAAAGATCGCTTTCCGTTAGCTACCCGTTGATTTTCCGACATTTGGCGCAGAAGTAAAGTTTGAAAGGACAAAAATGGTGAAAAAGTTGGTGAAAAAGTTGTTTCAACAATTGACGCAAGCGCGACACTCAGCGAGCGCGCTTCCTTTTCCCGCCTTCTCAAAAGTAGCCAATCAGAATCGCGATGTACACGGACGGACGGACGGACGAACGTACGGAAGGACAACTGGGCTTCCTGTGTCGGTTGATCACAGCTCAACTCCATGGGTTTGCCATTTTTCCTTAGTTATGGTGCTCCGCTCGCGCTGGCCTTTGGCCCGCGCGGGAGCTCCGCTATTATTGACTTTGAATTGTCACGNGATGGAAGGTGACCTAAGAAAACCAACTGCTAAGTTCATTCGAACGGAAAACGTACAAGAATCACGATTGAACGAAAACAAAGCTGCACCACAGGGATCCCAAATTGAGTTCCCGACGCAAAACAATGCACAGTCCAACACGAAACAGGAAGCCCAGCAGGAATATACAAAACAACTTTATGAAATCAAGTCACAACAGGAAGCACAACAAAAGCAACTGCATGAACTGTCGGTACTAATGCAGAAATTAGTAACTAGTGAAGTCAAGGAGCATGCAGCAAAGGCTAATACATTTGGACGCCCGCCTGCAAGAGGAATACAGGAGACACGAGAGGTTGAATGTTGGTTTTGTAAGGCTAAAGGTCATCTTCGCCGTGACTGTTCATCGTGGAAGAAGCAGCAGGAAAACGAGAAGAAGGCGCTCCCGAATGCCCTGGGGAACGCCTGAGTCCTGATAAAGGGCAACAAGATAATCAAGTTAGTGATGCTCGGAACAAGTTACGATTTTTAAAGAACATTTATGGTTTTGTACATTAAGGGTTTTATTAATAACATTTGTATTCATTGGCTGGTAGACACTGGAGCTGTGCAGTCAATTATATCACGCGACTTTGAACAAGAGTTATCAAAGGAATCAACTTATGTACGTTATGACAGTCAAAACACTAATGTTTTCCTTGCTAATGGTGAGAAAATCGATGTTTATGGATCGTGTTCAGTAACTATAACAATTGGAAAGCAAGCAATAGTCTCCTTCACGGATACCTGCGCCATCTTGAAAGGTAGCCGTGCCTTTGCACCGAAGCGAGACGACCGCTGAGCGTGCAATGATAGATACCTGTGAATAATTGTCTACAGGTGTGAAAGAAGGTTTCTATCATTGCACGCTCAACGGTTGTCTCGCTTCGATGACAAGGCACGGCTACCTTTCAAGATGGCGCAGGTRACCGTGAAGGAGACTATTAATGTCAATGCTCTTGTTGCTGATATAACAGACCAAGCCATCCTGGGAATGGATGTTTTATCAGAAGTGAATGCAGTCGTTGATGTTGTCCAAGGAACATTAGTCATGAATGGTGAACCAATTGATTGTGTCGATTATGAAAATCAACCACTGAGTTGTAGATGTCTAGTACGACGCTCTGTTGTTATACCTCCAAGCTCTGAAATTATTGTTCAAGGACATGTTAAGAAGAGCGGACAAAGCAATCAATCAAAGCAAAGTTAATGTCAATAGTGGAATGCAATCAAACTTGCGTGTTGTAGAAGCTAGTTATAACTCTTCCTTACTAACAAAAGGACTTTGTGTTGCTCGTACACTTGTTGACATTGGTCGGTCAGAAACTGTTCCACTAAGANTTCTCAAAAGTAGCCAATCAGAATCGCGATGTACACGGACGGACGGACGGACGAACGTACGGAAGGACAACTGGGCTTCCTGTGTCGGTTGATCACAGCTCAACTCCATGGGTTTGCCATTTTTCCTTAGTTATGGTGCTCCGCTCGCGCTGGCCTTTGGCCCGCGCGGGAGCTCCGCTATTATTGACTTTGAATTGTCACGWTCAAAAATGCCTTTTTTCATTGTTAAGCAAAATTTCCATAAATTTAATGCATCATATGTCTTCTCGATGCTCTCAAAATGCTGGAAATCGCATTTCCGAGGATTAAAATTCCAAAATTTTCCTGGTGCAATGCCTCCCTTMCCCCCTAAGAAAAACTCGCGCCTTCGGCGCTCATCAGCCCCCACATAATCAACCGGCTCCGCGGTCCCTGTCTGGCTAACACGTGTGATATCAACTTTATGTCACGGCATAGATGTAACTGCTGATGTATTTTGACTTGGCAATATTTTACTTTGGCGAATTTCTCAAAAATAAAAATAGGCAGTCTAGGACTGCATGTGGCTAGTGCTAGCTAGTAAAATAGAAATCTAAGCGAAATATTAGTTTTATTTGCTTAAAAGAAATCTATGCAAACCAAATTGAGTAGTTAAAAACTCAAAAACTTTTGAACATAAAAGGAGTAAATGAAGCTAAATTATGGATTTGATAATAACTTCATTTGAGTTTTTGGTTTGTCCGCAGAATTTTTTTTTTTATTTTCCGTCGAAAATTTATAGGTTCGTTTTCATTTTTTTTTTTTTTTTCGTTTAAATAGATGATTGGGGACCCTGTGGCAAGAAATGACGTGTGAAGTCAATCAGAGCATGCTCGGAACGTTTCGGTTTGGTTTGGGTAAGTCGTAAAAACTTGTGAGGGTAGGGGTAGCCAGGATTAGTTAYGACGTCATCACAGATAATGACGTAATTACACAGGGAGTCCATCTATCACGGAAAATTACGAATTTATCCGATAAATAACGAAAATGTACCGGAGTAAACGCGAGCCAACGTCCCATGTGGATTCATCTTCATTGTGTTCTGGTTCATTGATAAAAAAACATGAAAATTATAGATTAATAAAGTAGTACCAGCCTAGTCTCCAGGCGTTCCTCGTTTCTTTTATTGTAATGACGTCACAAAGTGACCAACGCACTCGCCCCTGGACTCCCCAACACAGATTAGAATGCCTAGGGACTTGGCTATATTTCACGGTTGATTACAACCACTCTAGAATTTAAAACATTTTTAGCATTGCAGCAAAAGTTTAGTATTCAGATTGCATTCACATTATCCTCAAAGATGAAATTTGCTTTGCATAAAATGATTTTAGAAAAAAGAACGAGTATATATATATAAGTTAAAGAAAGAAAAAAGAAAAAAGAATCGCTTAGAAGTGATCGAGAATCTAACCCGCTATCCTACGTTCGACGTTATTCGACAGTTCTATATATCACTGAGAACTGATTGATAAAACATCAGTACTTTATCGGATATAAAGGCCCATCATGTGACCCAATAGCTCATGAATTATTAATAAGTACTTATGTTTTATTAATCAGTTCTTTATATCAGATATAAAGAACTGATATTCAAGGTCATCAGCGGTAATTACCGAACCGGTTTTCATGTAATAAAGTGAAACAGAAAGTGTGTATAGAAATAAAATTTGTCAGCTGTGCCATAGACAACTTCTCTTCACATATTCCAAACTCTAAAATTGCTAGGTCGACAACTATTTCGTTGCAGTTCTAAGTGGACCATTAAGTATAGCTTTAATAGCACATGGCGGAGGCCGGCACGATAATTGCGCGGCAGGTGTTTCAATAGTTTTCCCAAAAACCAACTAAGTTACTACAGACGAGATTGATACAGAAGATAGAAATCCATGGGACAAACCTTTATAGTTGATAGGTATTCAATCTAGAGATATAACGTGATTTAAATAAAAACATTTGCTTTATGTACTCTCTGCTTCCAAATATTTTTTTCGCAAATAGCTTTCGCCGAGACTTGTAATAGCCATTAAATTTACAAATGCAAATCAATTCATAATATAATTTTGAACGTACTGGCCAATGACTACCAAGATTTTTACTATTCTTGGTAGTCCTTGGACAGTACGTACAAAAATTATATTATGAATTGATTTGCATTTGTAAATTGAATGGCCAAATATTTTTTTATCTGTATTTTTGTATCGCTTTTTTTACATAGAGTATTATCTTAACTCAAAAGTACGAGAAAAGAGGAAAATCATTTATAATACTAGTCGTCTTCTAGAGAGTAATGGTGAGTTAAAAATGACAATAAAGCTAGCGACTGAAAACCAGTGTCCCACGGCCCAGTCTATAACGCAGCGATCTCGGGTCGACTCCACAAATAAGCAAAAACGTCATAGGGGAGTTAAAATGTTTATTGGACAACAGCCCACTGGACTTTAATGCCGACAATAGTTGAGAGTTGACGAGTCTCTTTGTTTCGTCAACATCATCTTTATTATCTGTTTACACAAGCTAAGAGGCTAATGGGAGCGCGTCTTTGCACCTATATATCACTAAAACAAACACGAAAAGTATAAAATRAGCTTTTGTTTATTCTATACCTTGCTCATTTACCACCAATTGAACAAGATGTTATGCTCTAAGCACTCTCCATTTCTATTTATGGTAAGTATTATCATTTGTATTGCAATTAAAAGTGTGATATATAGTGAAATGCCGAGGTACGGATTGTATTTGATAATATTTGAAAATATTTCCTACGAGTGTGATAAAATCCGTACATACAAGTGACCATGTAATATTCTGGAGCCAGTTSTACGAAGGGTGAAGCGCTATTCATCGATAAATCCTTATCCAGCGGTTGAAATCCATACGAAGTSTAAGGACTAGATCACGTTTTTYGATGTATAACTTCACCCAGTCTTCGTACAAATCGTGCTTTGATGAGAGTATTAAGTACGTTCGCCCATTATTGCTCTGCGACCATTTTACTTTTTCGATATGAAAAATAAATTTGAAAACAACAACAAGTAAATCATAGTGAAAAGTTATTCTTTGAAGTGATACGAAATGRATATTTATGTATTCGTTAAATTGTATACCTGATAAGACACTGCTTCTCGTTTAGTGAATAGTACATGAAATCTATTGTAACTTTTAACTTTTTTATAGCCTTAAAACGCCATTTCTCCTAAATAAGATACAGCAATGTGAGAAACAACAGAATTTAAAGTTTGCATCGTAGTCCAGTCCCAGTCTCTTTCTAGCTCGCTCCGTTTAATTGTTGGTCGCTGGGCAAATAGTTCAGATGAACACAGGAGAATTTGTCTGTGCATGTCTAAAAAACWGAACTCACAGCAATGTTTATCATGGTTTATATAATTTTTGACAATGTCASATTATTTTAAATACGATCTCTGTGGTCTTCAAATAAGTAGTATGCCAATAGCATATATAATAGTTTGAGTNTTGTATTTTAGTAAAAAGGAATAAATTAAAAACACAAAGGAAGATCACTGAGGCTGAACGCTTTCTTTTGTCTTGTTTTAATTTATTCCTTTTTACTAAATTCGAATGTTCTATTTTCTATGACAACGTTTCTGCAAGTAGGTGTATGTGTGTAAAAATAAAAATTGAATTGAATTGAACTTCTGACTACTTCCTGGAGAAATGTCGTGTTTTTTAAATGACTCTTTGAAACAAAATGACGTCTTATATAATGGTAAAACTCATTGGTAGGGATTTACAGTATAATAGTATATATTGAGATAAAGACTGGTGATCACAAGGCAATCATTATTTAAGGAATAAAAGACGAAATTCCGTGTTTGATACTCTGATCAAAACACGCGGTATGTAGGGAGAGCACGAGAGAAGCGTAGGAAACCACGACGCGTAGCGGAGTGKTTTCCAGCTTTTCGAGTGCTCTCCCTACATCCCAAGTGTTTTGATCAGAGTATCAAACACGGAATTTCGTCTTTTATTTCTTTTCTAAAATTAAAAGAATACGAAAATTGTAAAGAATTCTGACTTTTGATACGATATGAAACGATAAATTCTCCTTACATTTCAGTTGTCTGCAGCTTCTGTAGCTTCTAAAACGTTTGATAGCTCTTCTTCTGGGATATCATCCGAGAGGACATCATAAATAGACATTTCTTACGTTCATTGTTCTTGAAAATGAATAATAACAACAACAAATGCAAACGGCGGGAAAAAAGAAATTTTTGACGCGCGCGAGCGTGTTTTGATACTGTAATCAAACATGGTTTTCGACCAATCACAGCGCGCGTAGTATCCTAAATATTTTAGAAATCACATTCATTCATCAAAATTTGACATAATCTATCAATCTTTGACTATACATTTAATTCTGTTGTACTCAAGAAGGCCCGCAAGGTCAACGGAATAATTCCTAACAAATCTCGAGAAGTATTATGACTTCTTTATTTATTTATCTATTTAAAGATTCTTCCGAAGTTCAGCAAGTCATTCAGAAAATGAGCCGTCAAAATGCTCCCGTACTTGATAACAAACTTGTTATCATATAATAGCTGCGCAAGAAAAATACTCAATAAGTGTTAATTTTACATCTCTTTAATTCATATTAGGTCACAATGAGTCTACTCTTAACACTGGCTACATTAGATATCGCACATGCTATCTTCAACGAACAAGGCTACGGCCACAAAACATTTGAATCAACACGTTCCATAGACTACCATCTTTGTGGAGATGATATTTACTTTGCGTTACGATGGGTATGTCACGCCTACGATCGCAGAGGTAATGTCCTGTAAATATATTTGATCCTCCTTCTTTTCCTTTTTATTAAGTTTCTGTTTGAACTTTTTGTTCTTCTTCAATTTTTTTGTTTTTTTTTCATTTTATACTTTATTGCTTTATAAGCAATTTGATTCTGCGGTTCAATCGGAGAAATGATGAAGAAAGCTAAAGAAAGCTGATCATGAAATAGAATTCTCTTTCTTTTGTTGGTTCACACCAATGTATTGTTCTGTTTCTAAATATGATGGCCTCGAAAAAAAGTTCAAGTTTGAAAAAAAACTCAAAATAATAAAATAATTTCACTCCTTTAATACCACCGCGTTCTTGTACAAGATATATGCTGTTTACCGGCTAACCTTGAAACAATTCGTGAATGTAGCGTAGTGAGTGAAAGTAGAGGATATCTTATAGAGTAAAAAGTGATGATGAATGGCAGCTTATTAACATGGATAGTATTCTTCTTAATCCATTTCAAACAGGCAAGAGGGAAGTCAAAGTTGTGAGAACGAAAGCCAGTGAGTTCCTTAAAAGTCGACGGAGGCGGTCAGCAGCCTACAATATGGTTGAGGAATGCTGTCTTGAAGGATGTGAATATGAAGAAGTACAGGAATATTGTTGATCCTAAGAAACAAAATGAATAAATATATTTGTGTCAGTATCTTGTCACTTTGTCATATAGTCTTTGGTTTCTCTTCTTCACTTTAGATTTAGTGGTTATAGCAATTCTGTATTTAAGAAATATAAACGGCCGCTTGTGTCTCTGTCCTCTGATATAAACACGGTGGGAGTTCGAAAAACACGAGAGAAGCAAGCTTAGGAACACGAGCGTAGCGAACATTTTGCCGGTAAGTGGGTAAGCCGTGTCTCTGTCCTCTGATATAAACACGGTCGTCAGCCAATCAGAGCGCGCGTTATATATCAAAAATTTTATAAATAGCATTATAGCGTACCGATGTCTATATACATGTGCGGAGAAAAGGATATTATCGGCCCCTCTAACAAGATCCTCGATCCGCGCGTGCTAAATTGACGGATATCAAAATTTRGTTCTTCTCCGAGGAATGCATTGAATGTGTTTAAGATTTTAACCCACCATGCGATATATAGTGCAGAGTTGACAATGGGTTGAGGTAATAAGTAGAAAATATGAATCGATTTTGTGGATATTTGTTTTCATTGTTTACATGAAGTCACTGGTAGTGATCCCCTGTCTTATAACAGAAAACAAATTGATGAAAACATAGTCGCTTATAAAAAAGCTTGTTGATTGGAAAATTGCGTGCAGTCAAGATTGATATACCTCTTCATGTCCAGATGTTTTTTGATCAAAWGGTTCTATTGTCTCCGTCTGTAAGGGTAAAAGCCGATCCACTGCTGTGCCTTCTCTATAATGCAGTTTTTAGATTAGGTTAAACAAAACGAATTGATGGAGTGGCAGCGTGAAGCACCATATATAGGTAAACACACAAGCTTTTGAAACAGCTATAAAAATCAGTTGGTTGTTGGTTATAGGCAATAGTTCAGCAGTATATATGCAATAACAGACCATTTCTCGTCAACATGGATAAATTCGGAAGAAAAGAAAAACAATATTTAATTTAAAAAACATTTATTACGTTGCATTTATTTTGACATTTTTTGGCAATTCTACAAGCGCTTGACCAATCAAAGCAATTGGATTATTTCAATAAATAATCACAAGCAGTTAAAAGTGTCAATTTTATTCCTGTGTGAGGGAGATGAGGACGCATCCTCGAGAACCCAGGGGTAATCTTCTGTCGTTTGTCCCTCACTCCCAGAAAAAAATACCAATGGACACGAAGTCTGTCAGCCCTTGTTCTTTTTTCTGATTGTCCGAGTGATCCGCTCGAACATTCTGATTGGTTGATCAATTTACCGGCCGCCATTTTGAATTTCGAATCGAGAACAAGGTCTAACAGACTTCGTGCCAAGCAGATTTTTTTCTGGGAGTGAGGAACGAATTACAGAAGATTAACTCTGGGTTCTTGACGATGCTGCGTGATATCAAAATAGAAAACCTCTAAATTATGTATTTTGGCTAATAGACATTTGTAGCTACGTGTGAAGGATTCAAATCTACAAACTTTGACGAAATTTGAAAGAAAAAMGTTTATTCGAGGAGCTATGAGCGATGAATCTGACAATCAAAATTTCATTTTCAAAGTGAGCGACCACCCTTTTATTTCTCTTTTGATAAAACATTTCCATAAACATGCGCAAAGGGTTTCCACAAACGAAAACAGAAAGAACGAAAACATTTGTCATTACAATAGCCCTACAAATATAYACTTTGTTCAATTGATGTCGAGATTTTATAGCCAATAATAAATATCAGTTGTTTGTGATACGAACACGTATTAGTATAGTTTGACAAATGTATGTCTTTGTTAGCTTTTGTATTCAGTGGTACAATTATTCAAAGTTAAACAATAGTGCTAATAGTGCGTGTATGTTATATCAGTTTTTATAAACCTTTCAATGTGTAGAACAAAGCGGCTTTGATATAAAATCATCTGTCAAAAAATGTGATGTGTTGTCCTAATGGTTGTCAGTTGTTCGAAGTTTGAGAAGAAGACTATATCATCACTACATACCATGCGTTTTCAAATAAACCATTTAAAGTAGTTTATTATATCATGTTTTTTGTTGTGGTTTAAGCAGAGTTACTCAGTGGATATAAAGCTTCAAAAGTACACCGACACAGCGAGCGAAAAACTTTGTTTACTTTAAATTTGCTAGGATAGGGAGGATGGCCCACAGCTTTATTGCTATGAAGACTTACTCACAATTAGAGATCATTTGGCTCAATGTTTATGGATTTTTATTCTTTTTTTAAAGAAATTGTAAACGAATTATTTCAATAAGGCTGTAAACTGATACAGTGTTATATATAGAATTTTCAGTACTTTGAAGGAAATTACGAAATTTCTTTCGGCGTTGGAAATTCTTCCGCTCTGAGTTCCTATTAAATGATCCTACACGGCTCCGAGTGAATGAAGATTGATTTGATTTGATTTCAACTGGCGCCTCGAGACAGTTAATATATAGTACCCAAACTGGCAAGATTTCCTCTTGAGAGAAGTTAAAAATATCTCCCGACTGTGAATGATTCGATAAGCAGGGAAAAGGAATTGGTTGGTTGGGATATAATTACACTTTTACGTGGGAGGATAGTCAGGAGACATAAATGTAGATATGTGCTAATAAAACGCATAGCTGGTGGGGATTTCAGCACTGCTTCGGTATAGATAGGTAAGAAAGAGATACTCAAAAAGTGGACTCTTATTCCAATTTCTTGAAGGTATGGCACTAAGCTTTTTGTTCGATGCTAGCTTAGCTCATAAATTTTCAATTTAGTAACATTGCTATCTGTGATTATGCATGAACTCACATTTGTTAGGATATACCTTTCTTTCTTATTTCTTCTCCTCGCAATGTTATATTCAGTAAACCATCGATTTATTTTCCAATTATTTCAGAACTCAATATAGAGAAACTGAAATATAGACATGAAAACATAATTTAGTCCTAGTTACTAATAAACACACATCAATCTATATTTGTCCATTTGCAAACTTCTCCATTGGCATTCGTACGTAAACATTTTTGACCAGCTGTAAAAAACACAAACTCGCAAAATGTTGGAATGCCCGAGATAGCGAAGRACTGAGATTGATAAATTGATTTTCAAAAGCCCTGTTTTAAGCTGTTTGGAGTTTGACCACGATATTTCTATCAAACCAGCTATTTTGAGAATTGATCTTCAGATAAGAAGGCATATGATGGTAAAGTAAATGTCTTGAGTACTCTTTTTAAGGGGAGGTCTATATTTATCTTGAATTCTGGCAGCTTTGCGATTATTTTGTGTTGGTTACAAATAGATTTCTTCGAATAAAAGGAAATTGGATTGGGGGTCATACAATGCTTATTGATTTGGGTGTATTCGACAGCATTACATTTCATTAAACGTCCACTAAAATCACTTTGAATGATCAAAAACACTCAAGGATACAAGAGAAAGCCTTCTTTAAGATTGTTTATCTTTTTCATTACGATAGGAAGTTTATGTAATCAAAAGGAATAATTGTAAGACTAAGAGTTAGGAATTTTCAACAAACCCAGTAGTCAAAGTGTATAAATAGTTCAATCGGAAAATAATGCAATTAGCGCGTACTTCATGATACTGAATTTATAGTCTGATATCTTTTCACGGCTTTAATACAGTAACTTTAGTCAAGACCTACACAATTGCACAATAGTGTCGTAGGCTTACCCTTATATCTATTAAATGATAGTCAAAATCTCTCCAAGTCGCATACTGTCCATCTATATTTTTATTTCTAATCGAAATGTTAAAATATCTGTCTGATCAGAAACAATTCAAGAAGAAATTTTTAATTAATTCATTATTAATAATTTGCTATTGTGAGCTTTTGTGTAATCTTTGCTGGGTCTAATAAAAGAATTGTTCGAATCATTTGCTTTTTTACAAGAAGGTGAGGTGTCATGTGAAAATTATCTACCGCCTTTAACACCGGTCTAGTCTATCGAATAGATTCAAAGAAAAATCAATCGAACACAATCGAATATAAATCGGTTCGATTGATTTTCGATCAGTTTTGGGATCGAACACGATCGGATATAAGGAAAAAAAACAGAATCCAACCAAAACACTCCAACCAGCATTCAATCAAATTTAATTGTTCGATTTTTGTCGTAAAAATATACGGCTGCTAAAAACGTAAAAATAAAACATTAGATAAAATAAATGCACAGTAGACTCATTACGTCACCTGCATTGCAGAAATAATAGTCCGATTTTGTCCGATTGACTTCAGCTCAATTTTCAAACGTTCGATCCTGTTCGATTGWTTTGTAGTTTTTGTGAGTATGATTGTGTTTGATTCCAAAACCAATAGTCAATCAATCGAACAGATTAATATTCGAGTGTGTTCGATTGCTGAATGTCTAAACAGACCTTAAGCACATATTAATTTTGAAGGAGGATTTTTTCCGCCTGACCTGATATCTGTACGACTAAAACATATCAATAAAGAAAGCCTTATCGTGCTAACCACATTGTAAATGAAAAGCATGTTTCTTTTTTATTGTTACTGCGTTATTTTACCTCAATTTTTTGGGTTAGGTCTGATATAGTTGGATCAACATAAAGCATAACATTACTGTCACGTGTATGAAGGTAATGAATTCAATATGACGTCACTATCATTTACAACATAATTGAAATTGAATTAACAATGGAAGAAACAACCTTCAAAACTCCATGCACYTAAGAATTATATTATATCAGCTGAAAATACCACACAAACAAATATATAAGCCTTCCGGGTAGGGAGTGGGGGAGGAGGAAAAATAAGCTGGTAACACCGAGCCTTTCAACTGACATAAAATAATGCTAGGTAAACGTTAAACTAAACAAATAAATAAAGACTAAAAACATATATATATTATATATAATAATTCGCAATTTAGAAATAATTCATACTTGCAAATTCATGGTACAGCAATGGGTCCTAAAAATGCTTGTAGCTATGCGGACATAGCAATGGGTGAAATAGATAGGTTAGCTAAGTCAGGGGAAATTAAGCCTTCGTGTTGGTGGAGATATAGGGATGATATTTTAGATTTTTGGACATTAGGTCAAGAAAAACTAGAAGAGTTTACAGAATATATAAATAGTCTTTATCCTACTATAAAGTTCACATGTACTCATTCTAGCCATGAGATTAATTTTTTGGATTTAACTTTACATTTAGTTAATGGCAGAATTGAGACTGATGTTTATTCTAAGCCGACGGACAGTCACTTGTATCTTTCACCGTCGAGTTCTCATCCACACAATTGTATAAAATCAATTCCTTATAGTGTAGCACTTAGAATCAGGAGGAATTGTTCAACTGATAGTTTTTTAGATAATAGGACTAAGGAATATAAGAATTATTTAACTGAACAGGGGTATAGTCCTAGGCTAGAATAGTTAAAGGGCAGTTCGATAAGGCTCTTTCATTAGATAGAATAGATCTCTTAAAGGTCAAAAAGGTCAAATCTAGGTATAGTAATATAATTCCTTTTGTTACAGATTTCAATGGTAATYTACCTAATATTAGTAAAATATTTAAGAGAAACTTACATTTATTAGAATCAACGGACCAACTTAAGGATATGTTTTCAAGTAAGAGAATAGTTACAGCTTATGGAAGGCCAAAGAATTTGAAGGAAATTTTAGCTCCTTCTAAATTAAGAGAAAATATGGCAATAAGCACTAGCAATAGTTCTATTGATAGGGTAGGTTGTTTTAAGTGTAATAGTGGGCGCTGTGACTTATGTAAGAATTACTTACAAGGCTCAGCCAAATTTACTAGTTTTGCAACAAAAAGATTTTATCATATAAAGCAAGAATTAAGTTACGTAATATATTTAGTTTCTTGAAATAAGTGCAAATTACAATATGTTGGATCGACCAGGAATGAATTTAAGGTAAGATTTAGAAACCATAAGTCATCTATGTTAACTAAGAAAAAGACTTGTGAGGTTGCAATTCATTTCAATAGTAAACCACATAAGCTTAGTGATTTTAGCTTTTTAGTGATCGAATCTTTGTATAATTTATATAATATAGAGCGTAATTTGCTTAATAGAGAAGCTTACTGGTGTCATCAGCTATTTACTTTTCAACCTTTCGGTCTTAACAAGCGTTTAGAATCAAATTCTGCTCATAGGATAAATTACTCTTAAAGTAATTCTACAAGATTTAATTTTGTTGTTATATTTTTTGTATTTT